GGAGAGGCCACAACAGTGAGAGGCCCGCGTACCGCACACACAAAAAAGAAAAATCAGCTGGGCATATTTGTGTGAGTCTGTTTCTGGGTTCTCTACCGTGTTCCATTTACCTGTGTGTCTGTCCCTTTACCAATACCACACAGTCTTGGTTACTGTGGCTATGATTACGTAGCTTGAAATTAGGTAGACTGATTCCTCCCATTATTTTCTGTTTCAAGACTGTTTTAGCTATTCTAGTTGCTTTATCTTTCTACATAAATTTTAGAGTAATCTTATATATATCTACAAAGAACACTTGCTGGGATAGGGATAGAAATTGTGCTAAACCTGTATATCAACCTGGGAACAACAGACATTTGTGCTGCATGGAAACTTCCAATCCATGAACGGGGTATGTCTTTTCATTTATTTAGATCTTGTTTGATTCATTTCATTTTGTAGTTTTCAGCATACAAGTGCTATACATGTTTTGCTATATTTATACCAAAGTGTTTCACTTTTTTGAACAATCGTAAGTAGTATTGTATTTTAAATTTCTGTCTTCTGAGGCTTTTCCTTTCCTGATCCTTTGGCTGAAAAGAGCAGGCTTTTGTTTGATGTTTTTTTCTTTTTTTGTCTGCACTCATTGGCATTTCTGGGACTGCTGCCTTCTTCAGCTCCACATCTGGGATATATGAAGTAAAAAGAAAACCCAGGGAACTCACTTCTGTGTCATTCCTTGGGTCCCAAGTTCCCTAGCTGGTCCCATAATCCCTGTTATGTTTTTTGTTCATAATTTTGGTAGACCTCAGATTTTTCAGCTATATATTTGTTGCATTATAGCAGAAATACCTGCATATTAAACCTGAATGGGCTTCCCTGGTGGCGCAGTGGTTGAGAGTCTGCCTGCCGATGCAGGGGACACGGGTTCATGCCCCGGTCCGGGAAGATCCCACGTGCTGTGGAGCGGCTGGGCCCGTAAGCCATGGCCGCTGAGCCTGCACGTCCGGAGCCTGTGCTCCGCAACGGGAGAGGCTGCAGCAGTGAGAGGCCCGCGTACCGCAAAAAAAAAAAAACCTGAACGCTGTCCTTTAAGAACTTACAGTTTTTAGAGGATTCTAAATTTCTCCCATATCTTACCTAATATTACATGGCAAAGGCAAACTTTTTGGTTGCTAAATATCTCCACCATCTGCCTGTAGTTGAAACTTAAAGCTTCACTATTTGCATTGCATTCCAGTGGACTCTGTTCTTTCTTCCAATAAAATATAATTACTACCATGTCCCAGGAGAGTTCAAACACGAAACTGGGATTGAGAATTAATAAGATAGTGTGAATGAATTATTAGACCCTTTCCTGACACTTTGCTGCAAGCAGGGTATTTTTGATAGGAAGGAAGCTGGAAAGATAGACACAGAGTGCAAGGAGGTGGGACCGGTCCACCCCTCTGCCTATTACCATGTGACTTTGGGCAAATTATTTAATCTTCTCATTAACTTAACCTCCTCATCTATAATATGGGGATAAAAATAGAACCCATCTGTTTTAGTTTTCTAGAACTGCTGTAACAAATTACCACAAACTTGGCTTAAAACAACAGAAATGTATTCTCTCACAGTTCTGAAGACCAGAGGTCTGAAATCAAGGTGTCAGCAAGGCTGTGCTTCCTCCAGAGCCTCTAGAAGAGATTCCACTTTTGCCTGTTCCAGCTTCTGATGGCTGGCAGCATTCTTTGACTTGTGACTGCTCACTCCGACTTCTGCCTTTGTTCTTCTGATCTAGCTGGTATAGCTGAGGTCACTTAGCCACTTCATTCATCTGGAGACTGGACCATCCTTCCAGGATGGTGTTTTGTCTTCCAGGTCTCTCTCCACATGGCCTCTCTTCATTCAATGATGAAGCCTGAGTTTTTTTTTTGTGACATAGCTGTTGGCTTCCAAGATAAAACGCAGAAGCTTCCAGGCCTCTGCTGGAAGTAGCCCAGTATCACTTCCACCAGATTGTATTCGTCAAAGCAAGTGGCAAAGCTATACTGGATTTCAAGGGATAGGGGAATAGTCTCTGCTTCATAACAGGAGGAAGAGCAGTCTCCCACCCCCACCCCAGGGAAAGAAGGGAAGAAGGAATTGATCTGGAGATTCTCTACGACAGTTGGCCCTAAAGACTAATTTTGGCTTCATAGGTTTATTTTGTGCAGGTCTTGCACGCTGAGCACCTATTCCCATAACCTAGTTCAGATCCTGTAGTTCCATCAGGGAAATGGGATTGCTGTTTTCTCAATAGACCTTTTATCTTCTTTCTTTTGCTCATGTCATTTCTTTAACCTGAAATAGTATTTCTTTTCTTTTCTTTTTTTTTTTTTTCAAGTCATTCATGTTCACTGAGTCTTTACATTAAAGACAAACCTTACCTTCTGCAGCTGGTTCTTATTAAATTCACACAGTTCTTATCTTTTTTCTCTCCAAGTTCTCTAGACATTTAGGTATTCAGTTTGCATTTTATTAATTTACATTTGCTGAAAGGTTTTTTTTAAAAAATTATGTATTACCAAATATTGCAGATGCGTATAGTCAGATCAGATTGTAAATTCATGGGGACCTGGGCTGTCCTACTTTTGCCTCTTCCCAGATCACCTCTACCAGTTATTTTGCACAAGCTAGATACTGTAGTTCACAAGAGAGCATGCTTCTGAGTGAAATTGAATTTGAGGCATTTCAAGAAGTTACAGCATATCTAAATTGCAGAGAGGTTGAGAAGGCTAGATAAATAGGATATAATTATTTAGTAGGTGTTCTATTGTTGAATGAGTAAATGAATGCCTACATGCATGAAGGCCACTGGGACTTGGCAAATCCATTTTCAGTGGAAATTATTTTGGTGCATCAGATATTTATTGAGCACCTAATATGTTCCTGTCACTTTGCTAGACACACAGATGGAAATGTAAAAAAAAAAAGTAAAAATTCAGTCTCTGACCTCCAGGTAAATAGATACAGAAGAAGGATGCAAACGTACTCATTGTTAATACAAACCAAGCAGAGGAGGCTGGGAGAGCACAGGGAGGGTGACTGAGCTTGGCATGATCACATGAGAAATGGTTCCTGGGTAAGATGACACCAATGAAAGCTTAGTAGGGGCTTCCCTGGTGGCGCAGTGGTTGAGAGTCCGCCTGCCGATGCAGGGGACACGGGTTCGTGCCCCGGTCCAGGAAGATCCCACATGCCGCGGAGCGGCTAGGCCCGTGAGCCATGGCTGCTGGGCCTGCGCGTCCGGAGCCTGTGCTCCGCAATGGGAGAGGCCACAACAGTGAGAGGCCCACGTACCGCCAAAAAAAAAAAAAAGAAAAAGCTTAGTGTGTAAGAGACAACCAGGCAAAGAACGGGGTAGAGTAAGGAAAGGCATTTCAGACGAGGGAACTACATGAAAAAAAAGCAGAGGATTATTTCAGCATGATGAGTGCAGTGAAAGACAAGTTGTTTAAAGCCTAGAGTGGGAGACAGCAATTTGGAGAAGATAAGAATGGAGAGGTGGGTAGGGACAGATCAAGGAGAGCCTGTTTTCCTGAGAGAGAGCTCATCCAGGCTTGGGAGAGTCCATGGACTAGTACAGGCAGAGGAATAACATGGTCAACTCGAGATCGAAATCCCTCTGGCAGCCAGTTGGAGGATGGTCCTGGGTAAATTAAATGAGTGTGTCCATCTTGGCAGGAGATGACTGAGGCCTTATACTAGACTTTAATAATAGAAACACAGAGGAGGAATGGGTTGAGAACTGTTTAGCAGGAAAAATTATCAGAGCTTGGTGAGTGATAGAATGTAGAAGGGGAAAGAGAAATATGAGTCTAGGTGAGCTGCCAGATTCCTGGCTTGGGTGACTGGGTAACTTCTGTGTCATTTTTTCATGGAGGCAGGGGAAGAGAATGGATGATATGGGGAAGAGGACAGGTTCAGTTCTGTCCTTGTTGAGTTTGAGGTACCCGTTGAGATATTCAAGTGGATATAGGAACTTCTTCCATTGGAGAAGGCTACTTGGGAGAGTCACGTCCTCAAGGGAGAGCCCAGTTTCAGTTGTCGTGAAATGAAGGGAGCATCTGTGAAGAGGCTGAAGACCTAGGGTGGTTGGATTATCATGAGATGGAATTTCAGAGGGCACAGTGATAGCTGTGGGGTGGGAGGCAGAAAGGAGTGGTTGGTCAGAGACCGGAGGCTTAGAGTCCTATCAGACGAGAGGAGTGTGTGGAAGGGTCAGGGGAGTATGGATGGCATTTTGCTTGGTGACCAGAGATGATATAGCTTTCAGGCTTGGTGTGGTTAGCTGGCCTTGAGAATTCCTCATGGAATTTAGGATTTAACGCAGGGCAGGGTTTGGCTTTGGCTTTGGGCAGCTTGGGTGGGGAGTGGTTAGTATTAGTGGTGGTTCTGGCTTAACGTGACAATGGTGTCAATGGAGTCTGTGATGGTGGCCTCCAGGCAATGGCCCCATGAGATTTATGAGCCCTGTGGTGAGTGGAAGGTGGGCTGGCAAAAAATGGCTCTTAGATAGTTGTGTGTATAATTTTATCTAAAAGTATACATCAACTAGGAAGTTAGCCAGAAGATATTTAATTAGTCAGAATATTTCAAATTTTCTTCTACATTGGTAATGGAGACAAAGTGGGGGGAAAATAGAGAGGTCAAGAAAACAAATGCTAGCAACCACATAAGTGAAACTACTCTGACTCCCACTTTGTTGCCCAGAAATGATTTTTGAAGTCATTTGCAGGAGTAAAATGAGTTTCTAGGAGAGATGCTTTTTCCTGATACATTTCAACTTCTAATGACCTCTCAAACCTTCTGATTTTTGCTGGAGTGCTTCTTGATGTGGATATTGCAGCTGGGCATTTGACTAATTAAAAAGTTCAACAACAGATAAATGCGCCGAAATAGAAAGCCATTTTAGCACAGGAGTAATGTGTTAGGAAGATCCAAGGCATCAGGCATTTAAGGGGTGAATCTTCTTACAAAGCTTCTCCCATGCTTACCTCTCACGATGACCTCCTATAGCCCTTCCGTCAAAGTCTCAGAGTTTCTTCCTGGCTTTCAGAGACTTCAACAATCTGGCTTCAACCTCATCTGTCAAATGGGGATAATAACCATTGCTCTATTTATCCCACAGGTTTTTGGTCAAGACAAAGGTAACCATACATGTGAAAATGATTTGAAAGATGTAAAAGCTATATATGTTTAAAAAGTAGTTCTTTTATGGCTATGTTTTTGCTTTATCCTCCTTCCTTTAGTGCCAGGATTTCCTGTCCCTAAATCCCAGGCTTTCTAATACCAGGTGCTAGATTTCTCTGACCCCCAACTGCCTAATCAACCTCTACTGATGACCAGTTCTACCTCTGCTTGAATATTCACCTTCCATCTTAGACTTCAAAACAGTGATTCTTACTGACCGGCATAGACTTGCCTTTATGGACTGGCTTGTCCACTTCAGACCCATCTTCAGTCTCCTCTCCCATGTTTCTGAGCCTAGAGTGACAAACCCACAGCCTCCTTCTGAAAAACAAAAAAACACAAAAATAAAAACCAGTGATCTCCATTGGCCTCTCCTGAACTGAATTATTCTACTTTCACACAATTTGTGTATCTAAATCATTCTCTCCTGTGAAACAGCCTTGCTTGTGTGGGTCCTGGGGATCTGAGTCTAACAGAGAAACCATCTCAGCCAAAGCTACCATGATAGTGTCATCAAGTCCTATGCAAGAGTAAAAGTCTAGGAGGAAGCAGGGACTAGAGAAAGGTATCCAGGTCAATCTCCAAAATGAAGACAGACAAGGCAGCTATTGAAAGCTGGAGTGAGAGACTTCCCTGGTGGCGCAGTGGTTAAGAATCCGCCTGCCAATGATAGAGGACAAGAGTTCGATCCCTGGTCCAGGAAGATCCCACAGGTCGCGGAGCAACTAAGCCCAAGCGCCATAACTAAGCCCAAGCGCCACAACTACTGAGCCTGTGCTCTAGGGCCTGCAAGCCACAACTACTGAAGCCCGCGTGCCCAGAGCCCATGCTCTGCAACAAGAGAAGCCACCGCAGTGAGAAGCCCATGCACCGCAATGTAGAGTAGCCCCGCTCGCCCTGACTGGAGAAAGCCCGTGTGCAGCAACACCCAATGCCGCCAAAAGTAAATAATAAATAAATTTATTTTTAAAAAAGATATCTATAGTATGAGAAAATTAAAAAAAAAAAAAAAAAAAGAAAGCTAGAGTATGGGGACTAGATTCACAAGGCCTGGTAGGCCACAGTGAAGAATAAAGCGCAGACTACCACCTGGAACAGGCACTGTTGGCCAGCTGGTTTCAACACGTTCTCTGCATGGTGCTTGGGTACATGGCTGGCTACATGGAAAGGGCCAGGGATGGGGCAGAAATCCTGGTTTGAGAGTCATGTCCTCTACTCAAAAAAATCTTCATCATCTTCCACTGTCTATGGAGAAAGTTCAAACTCCGTTGTGTTCAGCCCTTACTAGCTTGGGCATGGAAATGGTCACATTTCCATTAATGAGCGATTATGATGATACGCTTAATGGCACGCAGTTCTGCTTGCTTCTAGGTCCTCTGCTTCCTGGATCCAAGCCCTTCAACTCTCAATCTCAAGCCTGCTCTTCAAATCCTCATTTTCTGTCTCTGCCTCTATTCAGAATGAAGGAGTGAATCATAGGGGGCGATGGCCTCAAAAGATATCATCCTGCTTTCCCCTGGATTTGGTTTCATCCCGGGGATGCTTTACATTACAGTTTAGCTTCAATTTGTCCATGGAGCTTAACATTTTATGGTAATACTTTCTCCCTCTCTCATACCAATTTCTTTCTTTCTTTTTTTTTTTTTTAAACATCTTTACTGGAGTATAATTGCTTTACAACGGTGTGTTAGTTTCTGCTGTATAACAAGGTGAATCAACTATACCTATACATACATCCACATATCTCCTCCCTCTTGCGTATCCCTCCCACCCTCCCTATCCCACCCCTCTAGGTGGACACAAAGCACAAAGATCAGGGAGCTGATCTCCCTGTGCTATGAGGCTGCTTCCCACTAGCTATCTGTTTTACATTTGGTAGTGTATATATGTCCATGCCACTCTCTCATTTCGTCCCACCTTACCCTTCCCACTCCCCGTGTGCTCAAGTCCATTCTCTATGTCTGCGTCTTTATTCTTGTCCTGCCCCTAGGTTCTTCAGAACCATTTTCTTTCTTTGATTCCATATATATGTGGTAGCATACAGTATATGTTTTTCTCTTTCTGACTTACTTCACTCTGCATGACAGTCTCTAGGTCCATCCACCTCGCTACAACTAACTCAATTTCTTTTCTTTATATGGCTGAGTAATATTCCATTGTATATATGTGCCACATCTTCTTTATCCATTCATCTGTCGATGGACACTTAAGTTGATCCATGTCCTGGCTATCGTAAATAGAGCTGCAGTGAACATTGTGGTATATGACTCTTTTTGAATTATGGTTTTCCCAGGGTCTATGCCCAGTAGTGGGATTGCTGGGTCATATGGTACTTCTATTTTTAGTTTTTTAAGGAACCTCCATACTGTTCTCCATAGTGGCTGTATCAATTTACATTCCCACCAACAGTGCAAGAGTGTTCCCTTTTCTCCACACTGTCTCCAGCATTTATTGTTTGTAGATTTTTTGATGATGGCCATTCTGACTGGTGTGAGGTGATACCTCATTGTAGTTTTGATTTGTATTTCTCTAATGATTAGTGATGTTGAACATCCTATCATGTGTTTGCTGGCAATCTGTATATCTTCTTTGGAGAAATGTCTATTTAGGTTTTCTGCCCATTTTTGGATTGGGTTGTTTGTTTTTTTGATATTGAGCTGCATGAGCTGCTTGTAAATTTTGGAGATTAATCCTTTGTTGGTTGCTTTGTTGGCAAATATTTTCTCCCATTCTGAGGGTTGTCGTTTCGTCTTGTTTATGGTTTCCTCTGCTGTGCAAAAGCTTTTAAGTTTCATTAGGTCCCATTTGTTTATTTTTGTTTTTATTTCCATTTCTCTAGGAGGTGGGTCAAAAAGGATCTTGCTGTGATTTATGTCATGGAGTGTTTTGCCTATGTTTTCCTCTAAGAGTTTTATAGTGTCTGGCCTTACATTTAGGTCTTTAATCCATTTTGAGTTTATTTTTGTGTATGGTGTTAGGGAGTGTTCTAATTTCAGTCTTTTACATGTAGCTGTCCAGTTTTCCCAGCACCACTTATTGAAGAGGCTGTCTTTTCTCCATTATATATTCTTGCCTCCTTTATCAAAGATAAATGACCATATGTGCGTGGGCTTATATCTGGGCTTTCTATCCTGTTCCATTGATCTATATTTCTGTTTGTGTGCCAGTACCATACTCTCTTGATTACTGTAGCTTTGTAGTATAGTCTGAAGTAAGGGAGCCTGATTCCTCCAGTTCTGTTTTTCTTTCTCAAGACTGCTTTGGCTATTTGGGGTCTCTTGTGTTTCCATACAAATTGTGAAATTTTTTGTTCTAGTTCTGTGAAAAATGCCTTTGGTAGCTTGATAGGGATTGCATTGAATCTGTAGATTGCTCTGGGTAGTATAGTCATTTTCACAATATTCATTCTTCCAATCCAAGAACATGGTATATCTCTCCCTCTGTTTGTATCATGTTTAATTTCTTTCATCAGTGTCTTATAGTTTTCTGCATACAGGTCTTTTTTCTCCTTAGGTAGGTTTATTCCTAGGTATTTTATTCTTTTTGTTGCAGTGGTAAATGGGAGTGTTTCCTTGATTTCTCTTTCAGATTTTTCATCATTAGTGTATAGGAATGCAAAAGGTTTCTGTGCATTAATTTTGTGTCCTGTAACTTTACCAAATACATTGATTAGCTCTAGTAGTTTTCTGGTGGCATTTTTAGGATTCTCTATGTATAGTATCATGTCATCTGCAAACAGTGACAGTTTTACTTCTTCTTTTCCAATTTGCATTCTTTTTATTTCTTTTTATTTTCTGATTGCTGTGGCTAAAACTTCCAAAACTATGTTGAATAATAGTGGTGAGAGTGGGCAACCTTGTCTTGTTCCTGATCTTAGTGGAAATGGTTTCAGTTTTTCACCATTGAGAACAATGTTGGCTGTGGGTTTGTCATATATGGCCTTTATTAGGTTGAGGTAAGTTCCCTCTATGCCTACATTTTGGAGAGTCTTTATCATAAATGGGTGTTGAATTTTGTCAAAAGCTTTTTCTGCATCTATTGAGATGATCATATGGTTTTTCTCCTTCTATTTGTTAATACAGTTTATCACATTGATTGATTTGCATATATTGAAGAATCCTTTCATTCCTGGGATAAATGCCAGTTGATCCTGGTGTATAATCCTTTTAATGTGCTTCATACCAATTTCTTTAAACCCCCTCATAACCAGAGACTGTTGGACTGGAAAGCACCTTAGAAATCATTGAGTCAAACTTCCTGATATTTTAAAATAAAGAGATAGAAAATTTCAGTGATTTTCCTAAATTACAATCACTAGGGAATGGAGTCAGTATTTGTGTCCATGTTTCCTGTTGTCCAGTTCAAAATTCTTCCCCATATACCAGCCAGTGTCTTATAAAGTAGGTAACAGGTAATTTAAAGGAATTTATTTATAAATGAAAGATCCAATTTTATGAAGTGAATAATTATTCCTTTACTTATGTTTCATAAGATTTAATTTTTACATATTAGGTTCCTAATAACAAGATACCCCTCTATCTGATGGAGATAAAATGTATCATTTTTGAATGAGCTTGGCTTCTCTCTCTACCTCCCACTTGTGTGAGTCTCAGAGACTCTGAAAACAGACTTTAGAATTAACCCAGAGGAGAATTGTGGGGTCACAGGCTGGGAGGGGCAAGTGTGAGTGAGAAGGTTTACTTTTTTGCACATGTCTCCTCCACTGATGTAAGGGTCACATGAAGCAGGGCCTATGCTCTAGTCATCCCTGTGTTGCCAAAGGCTCACACAGTGCACAGCTCAGAGTAAGGACTTGAGAAGAACATTCCCTTTTCCTCAAATAGAAATGATGGTACAAGGACTTCCCTGGTGGTCCGGTGGTTAAGGATCTGCCTTCCAATGCAGGGGACATGGGTTCGATCGCTGGTCAGGGAACTAAGATCCCACATGCTGTGGGGCAACTAAGACCGCACACTCTAGAGCCTACGCGCCACAACTAGAGAGAGAGAAAAGCCCGCACACCACAACAAAAGATCCCGCATGCCGCAACTGAGACCCAATGCAGCCAAATAAATAAATACTAAAAATAAAAAGAAAGAAATGATCATACAGAAAACAAGCATAAGAGAAGGTCAGGGATGTACTAAGTTGGTCAGGGGGAGGCAGGGGGTGAAAAAAGAGCATGTTTCATGTTTTACTTCTCTATTGCTGTGTAACAAACTACCTCAAGACTTAGTAGCTTAAAACAACAATAATTTATTATTTCTCTTTATCCCGTGGGTTGATTGGGCTCAGTTGGGTGGTCCTTCTGCTACATATGA